TGGGAGCTGCATGAACGATGTGTCAGCATCCACAGTTGAACGTCTTAAGCTCTCAATGGAACTATACCTTAAACTTTACAAAGTAGCTTGGATTGATACCCTTCTACCCAACTCAACGATGTCTTGTTTCTTTTTCTTATGAAAAATACAGTGATTCCATATTATGTGATGTGATTCCTATGAAACTCACTCATATCCTTCTTGGCCGACCTTGACTCTATGATCGAGATGTCAAGCATCGTGGGAGAGAAAACACCCACACTTTTTTATTTGGATAGAAGACGATTGTTTTGAAGCTTATGCCACATGATGATATAAAGAAATATGAAGAATCGAAGCCTTTGTTTGTTGTTGAGGGCAAGCAAAGGCCTATTCACATCCTTTCAAAGAAGCAATTTGAAGTGGAAAGCAAAAGTCCAACTGTTATTTATGATATAGTGATTAAAGAAGTGAAGAAATCTCTTCTTGGTGTTAAATCTAATATGTCTTTTGAAGTGCAAAAGCTGTTGTCCAAATTTTATGATGTAGCTTCGGAAGAGTTGCCTAATGAGCTCCCTCCCATGCATAGTGTCCAGCACGCAATAAATTTTGTACTGGGCTCTCAATTGCCTAATCTCCCTGCATATTGCATGAATCCAAGTGAGCATACCGAGCTAAAAAGACAAGTGGATGAGTTGTTGTCCAAGGGTTCAATTCGTCATAGTTTAACTCTATGTGATGTTCTCACTTTGCTTACACCAAAGAAAGATAGTACTTGGCATATTTCTGTTGATAGTCCTGTTGTTAACAAGATTACTATCAAGTATCGATTTTCTATGCCTTGCATTGATGATCTACTAGACATAATGGTTGGTTCTATTATCTATTCAAAGATGGATTTGAAGAATGGATTTCATCAAATACGCATAAAACCCGAAGATGGGTGGAAGACTGCTTTCAAGACAAAAGATGAACTCTATGAGTGGCTAATTATGTCATTTGGTCCTTCCAATGCCCCTAGTACATTCATGCGTTTTATGACTCTGGTACTTCAACCATTCATTGGTCAATTTTTAGTTGTTTATTTTGATGATATTTTAAGCTATAGTAAGACCACGGAGGAACACCTCTTTCATCTCCAACAAGTTATGAGAGTTCTTCATCAAGCTCTACATAAACATGAAAAAATGTTCCATTATGAGTCCAAAAACAATGTTTTTGGGCTTTGTTATTTCTTATAAAGGTGTGAAAGCTAATCCAAATAAGGTGAAAGCTATTCAAGAGTGGCCGACTCCCTCCACTTTACATGAAGTCCGTAGTTTTCATGGGCTGGCCACATATTACTGGTGCTTTATTAGAAATCTCAGCAGCATCATGGCACCAATCACTAATTGTCTGAAGAAGGAACACTTCAATTGGACNGACACATGGCTTATCAATGTCCAAAGAAGAACAAGCTACATTTTGGGGCGAAAGATGAGGACAAAGAGCAACCAAATGAGGATATCAATGAAGAGAATTCATTTAATTATGGAGCATATATTGCTAATGATTTGGAAGAAGACGAAGAGGATACTTCTTTTCTTTCCGTTGTGAGACACAGTCTAGCTACCCCTAAAGTAGAGCAAGAAGATTGGCGACGCTAATTCATTGCAGAAATCATGCTAAAAAGCTTATTTTGATGGTGGGAGCTGCATGAACGATGTGTCAGCATCCACAGTTGAACGTCTTAAGCTCTCCATGGAACTATACCTTAAACTTTACAAAGTAGCTTGGATTGATACCCTTCTACCCAACTCAACGATGTCTTGTTTCTTTTTCTTATGAAAAATACAGTGATTCCATATTATGTGATGTGATTCCTATGAAACTCACTCATATCCTTCTTGGCCGACCTTGACTCTATGATCGAGATGTCAAGCATCGGGGGAGAGAAAACACCCACACTTTTTTATTTGGATAGAAGACGATTGTTTTGAAGCCTATGCCACATGATGATATAAAGAAATATGAAGAATCGAAGCCTTTGTTTGTTGTTGAGGGCAAGCAAAGGCCTATTCACATCCTTTCAGAGAAGCAATTTGAAGTGGAAAGCAAAAGTCCAACTCTTATTTATGATATAGTGATTAAAGAAGTGAAGATATCTCTTAGTTGGTGTTAAATATAATATGCCTTTTGAAGTGCAAAAGTTGTTGTCCAAATTTTCTGATGTATCTCCGAAAGAGTTGCCTAATGAGCTCCCTCCCATGCTTAGTGTCCAACACGCAATAGATTTTGTACCGGACTCTCAATTGCCTAATCTCCTTGCATATCGCATGAATCCAAATGAGCATACCGAGCCAAAAAGACAAGTGGATGAGTTGCTATCCAAGGGTTCTATTCGTCATAGTTTAACTCCATATGATGTCCCCACTTTGCTTACACCAAAGAAAGATAGTACTTGGCATATGTCTGTTGATGGTCCTGTTGTTAACAAGATTACTATCAAGTATCGATTTTTCTATTCCTTGCATTGATGATCTACTAGACATAATGGTTAGTTATATTATCTATTCAAAGATGGATTTGAAGAATGAATTTCATCAAATACACATAACACCTGAAGATGAGTGGTAGGCAGCTTTCAAGACAAAAGATGGACCCTATGAGTGGCTAGTTATGTCATTTGGTCTTTCCAATGCCCCTAGTACATCCATGTGTTTTATGACAATGGTACTTCAACCATTCATTGGTCAATTTTTAGTTGTTTATTTTGATGATATTTTAAACTATAGTAAGACCACAGAGGAACACCTCCTTCAAGTTATGAGAGTTCTTCGTCAAGAGAAGCTCTACATAAACATGAAAAAGTGTTCCATTATGAGTCTGAAAACAATGTTTTTGGGCTTTGTTATTTCTTATAAAGGTGTGAAAGCTAATCCAGATAAGGTGAAAGCTATTCAAGAGTGGCCGACTCCTTCCACTTTACATGAAGTCCGTAGTTTTCATGGGCTGGCCACATTAGTGGTGCTTTATTAGAAATCTCAGCACCATCATGGCACCAATCACTAATTGTATGAAGAAGGAGCACTTCAATTGGACCAAGATAGCCTCTCAAACTTTTGAAGATATCAAGAAGAGAATGACTGGAGCCCTAGTTTTGCGACTTCCAGATTTTTCAAAGGTGTTCGAGGTAGCATGTGACGCATCACATATGGGAATTGGTGGCGTACTTAGGTGGTGTTTGATAAAACTGAAAGCTGAAGTTTGAGAGCTGAAAGCTGAATGCTGAATTTGTGGACTGTTTCGTATTCACTAAAATTTAATTACTGAATTGAACTAAACTGTTTGATAACTACACAGAGCTGACGGCTGAAAATAAATTAATTTTTAATTTTACCCTTCCACTCTTTAATTTGAAAATATTTATAAGAAAATCATAACATAAATTATAATCACTATTATTATATTGTAGTCCACATTTAACAAATATTGGATCAAAATAAATAAATAAATAACATTTAAATAACACAATAAGTGAACAATAACAAATTGAATAACATAATAAGTAAACAATAACATCTAATAAAAAAAAATAACTAATAAATAATTAAATAATATTGAAAAAATACAATAAATTAGATTTCCTTAACGTGTGTGCTGTGTCTGTGTGTGTGTGTAAGTATGTGTGTGTGCAGTGCATATGTATGTGTGTAATTGTGTGTGTGTAGTCTGTGCATTTATGTGTGTAATTATAATTATATATGTATATTTTTGTTATAGAAAACGAGGGAAAGAAAAAAAAAATATCGACAAAGAGAATATATAGGTTAGGGGTTTTGAAGAGAAGACTAATTAGAGTTTTAATAGAATTGTAAAATATTTTGGGATATAATTGTCATATTGTAAATATTATTAAAGATAGTTTTACTGAACGCTTTCAGCTTTCAAAATTAAGTAAGGGATCTCTTACTTAATATTGTAGCTTATTTTTAAGGAGCACTTAACATATTAAGAAAGTTTAAATTTTGGTTATCAACAGACTTAATTAATAAGTGTTGAATACATTTATTTTAAGTGCTGAATTTGAGTTAACAAACACACCCTTAGTCAAGAAGGCCATCCTATTGCTTATTTTAGTGAAGTTGAATATGGCCAAACAAAAGTACTCCACTTATGACACAGAATTTTATGCATTGGTGCAAGCACTTCGTTATTGGCAGCAATATCTCATTCCCATGGAATTTGTATTATACTCCGACCATGAAGCACTTAAATATATCAATTCTCAAATGAAGTTGAATCATCGTCAAGGAAAGTGGATCTCTTTTCTATAGGAATATACTTTTGTGATCAAACATAAGGCTGGTGTTAAAAATAAAGCAGTTGATGCATTAAGTCAAATGGTGATTATGCTTTCGTCAATGACTATAGCTTTGATTTGCTTAAAAGGGACTACCCATCTTGCAAGGATTTTGGTAATATATATACTAATTTGATGGGTGGACAGCATACAACATATTCAGATTTTTCCTTGCATGATGGTTATCTCTTCAAGGGACCTCGTCTTTGTTTGGCAAACACATCTCTATGTGTGAACAAGTGATTCAGAAACTACATTCCAGAGGGGCAGCAAGTCATTTTGGAAGAGATAAAACCATTGTCATGGTTGAAGACAGTTATTATTGGCCAAGTTTTAAGCGAGATGCAGCCAAAGTTGTCTCCCAAATTTGTCTCTCGATATCGGACTTGTCAACTATCAAAGGTTAGGAAGAAAAATACAAGTTTGTACATGTCATTACATGTTCCTCATGAAGCATGGCAAGACTTAAGTATGGAATTTGTCGTAGGGTTGCCAAGAACCCTTCGAAGTCATGATTCTATCTTTGTGGTGGTGGATTGAAATTCAAAAATGACTCATTTTGTTCCTTGTTCAAAGACATCTGATGTCGTCCATGTTGCTAAATATTTCTTTAAAGTTGTTCGTCTTCATGGGCTACCTAAAAAAAGTCTTTCATGATGTTCGTCTTCATGGCGAGATGTTACCCATTCAAGTTCAACTCAATAGTGTCAGCATTCACAAAAAGTCTTGCTAAGAAAGAATTATGCAAGGCAATTGGTGGAAGGCTAGTATTTTGTGAAAAATCTGCTCTCAAATTCTCCTGGGAATTCAAAGGAAAAGGAGGGAGATAAAGTGGTAGACTGCAGTTAAAAGAATACAGGAAAGGCTTTGTAACCAACAAACGAAATAACTCAGATAACAATCACTCACCAACTTCCGAACTACACTCCCCATGGTTAGGACTACAAGATGGCACAAGCATGCACTTAGTTGATGCACTAGAACTTGACAATGGAGACTGATCAGAAGAACTTACCTGATGAGGCATTCCAGCCAAGTTGAAATCCATCACTTCGAAAGCCACNGATGTTCGTCTTCATGACGAGATGTTACCCATTCAAGTTCAACTCAATAGTGTCAGCATTCACAAAAAGTCTTGCTAAGAAAGAATTATGCAAGGCAATTGGTGGAAGGCTAGTATTTTGTGAAAAATCTGCTCTCAAATTCTCCTGGGAATTCAAAGGAAAAGGAGGGAGATAAAGTGGTAGACTGCAGTTAAAAGAATACAGGAAAGGCTTTGTAACCAACAAACGAAATAACTCAGATAACAATCACTCACCAACTTCCGAACTACACTCCCCATGGTTAGGACTACAAGATGGCACAAGCAGGCACTTAGTTGATGCACTAGAACTTGACAATGGAGACTGATCAGAAGAACTTATCTGATGAGGCATTCCAGCCAAGTCGAAATCCATCACTTCGAAAGCCATTTCCTTTAGAAATTTCCCAGAACAGTTTGAAGCATATAATGCTTCAACACATCCCTAAGGCACTTCAACACAGTCTATGTGCATAGAAACATTATGATCTTCTTGACCCTTCAATGCTTTCATCCATGGTTTTAAAATGCGGCAATTACGGAGCATAGTGGCCGTTATGTAACAGGAACGAAGATCACCGATACTGTTACGCCCCATTATATCGACCATAAAATTTTTTACATTTGTAACGGCCATTAAAACCCCATAATAGTGAATATGCCTACCTAAAAACCATTTTTAAGCGCTATTTCTAGCATAAAAGATAAAAAATACACAAACAAACTATGAACTGAATCTAAACATATATGTATATAAGAGATCTAGATACAAAGAAAAAGAATCTTCTTGTAGAGGGATAATCCATGGTTGCTAAACAATATAAGTAATATCCAGGCTACACCCATCTGCAGTATAGCTTAACGGTTGGCGCAAATGCCCTCTTCGGATTTACGTTTGGCATCTTGGCCACACCCAGCTCCACTATCATGGTTATGCTATTAAGTGTCTGGTTTTTGAAGTGTGAATTAGAACTAGCCAACTAGGGCTTTGGATTCCCTGAATTTTATCACATGAAATGCTGAAAAGGAGAACAAGAGGATAAGTGTCATCCTCGAAAACCTTTTGTCCTTATCTTGTGCCACGCAACAAAATTGCAAGGCTTATGCCAGATTTGAAGTGGAACTCCATTATTTAATCCTAAACCCAGCTGCCCCTTAACCACTACACCCAAATGACGGTAATAACCGTGGGCATGGCGATAATAACAGCTCACGTGACCAGATTTCTTCATTTGGAGAGAGGCTTTGAATAGCCTACAGTCCCTCTCTCTTGAAGTGGCCGGGATGAAAGTCAATTTTTATAGGGGAATGGACTCTAAGCTCCCTTATCCATTGTGAGAAGGTCAAACTCCTATTTGATGAGTTTGGACTTCTTGATTCTTATTGTAGGTGGGCGAGACTTTGCTCGCTTGAGGAGTCTTTTTGATTTCCACTTGTGTTGTAAAGGAGTTGAGACCTCTCTAGGATGAGGGGTCTCAACTCCTTTCCCTCCAAGTATTGGTTGTAGATTAGTCTTAGGAGGTTCTTTGATTTTCAAATAACAGATAACATTATCTCCTTGCCTAAATCCACGAGTCAGTGGGACAGAGATGGCAATCTTCCCAATAGTAACTTTTTGTCTAGGACGCTGGCAATCTTCCCAATGGTAACTTTTTAAATGGCCAACCCTTGTCAGAGCTTTCCCATCAATGCTACTAATTTTTCCCTCATCAAGTAGTAATGTAGGCGTGTGTCAATTTTGGAGCGTTTCCATATTTCAATGGTTATTGAGTTAGGAGGTATTCTAGTTAACGATTCGGGTTATAGATTATGTTTTTGACCTAATAAGATGCATTAAGGATCATCAAAAAATTCAAATCTCTTTTATTTTGGAGTTAAAATGTGCATGCATTCATTTTTTAAGGAGTGAATTGAAAAAAAAAATCACACCTTCGATTTATGTAATTGTTATGTAATGCCCGTTATACCCCATTTCCATTACTCTATTACCGTTACCATTACAACGGTCATTACCATTATTCAAAACTATGCTTTCATCAAAAAGAATGTCTGAATCAACTAAGCTTCAAGAGACCTTGAGCAAGACTCTCTTGTCTCAACTAAATTGATTTGGCAGTGGTTCATTTAGGTTTATTTCATAACTACGCCATGCCTCTAATTATGTCTTGTGATTCTTCTCTTTACATCTGCATGCATGTGACTGGCTCATGGGTAGGGGAATGTTAGAGCTTAATGCACATCAGAATAATATTCTCTGCAAAATAGTATATGAGCCTTATCAAAATTATAATTCCTTTCAATTGGTTGAGTTAGATGTTTTTGTTAGAGTATCAATCCCAAAACCAATTTATAATAGGTGGAATGGCNAGCCTTATCAAAATTATAATTCCTTTCAATTGGTTGAGTTAGATGTTTTTGTTAGAGCATCAATCCCAAAACCAATTTATAATAGGTGGAATGGCCCCTCAAGTATATAAACAAACCTTATAGCCTTAATTATTTGAAGTAGGAGACAAGCTCTCTTAATGCTCTCCCTCACATGAGTGTCGGACTTGCACGTGGGGTCGACAAACAAACAAACAACCAAGCATACCGAAATATTCAATTAGGTAAGAGACTTGACTCACTGGCCACTCAAGACTCCAGCTAGGACACCATATTAAAGCATCCAATGCAAAACCAATTGACAATGGGAGGAACAGCCCCTCAACTATATAAACTAACATTGATGGTCCTAATTATTTGATGTGTGATACAAGCTCTATTACCCGTCAAAAACAAGTCTTCAATTCCTAATCTTCAAAAATATCGGCTTTTAACCCCATTATTCATCAACCAAAAAGAGAAAAATCAAAAAGTATAATTTCTTTCATCCATTAGTCATCATCCAAGAACTTCGCTCACCTTTAGTCATACTTGAGGTATATTGATGACGTCCATTAGAAGCTCAAGAACGAGTAAATTCAAAGCGAAAAAAATAGAATTTATATTGTTTTCCAAAAAGTGGAATTTATTCTGTTTTTGACTGCCTTGCAAACTTGATAACCATTATAATTTGATTTCAAGTTTAGTAGATTCATAATAATGCATACAACTAGTCAGTTTCTAGTTTTTTATCAAGTGATTTTGTTTTAAAAAAAAATATTTTGGAAATTTCATCTTTTTTTGGAAACAGCTCATGGTAGATGACCAATGGTTTTTATTCCTAAATGGGTAATGGGTTTATGCTATGAATGTAGCAAGTTTAAGCAGGTTTTTAATAGTTTAAGTCTGCTTTCAATTTAAAATAAGGATTGCTTGAAGTCCATATGTTGCAATGCGACGGTTTGCAGAATTTTCAGAACTTTTGAAGTTCGAATCAAGCAATACAAATCCTACGTGCGATGTCTAATGGGGATTTTATGTAGGTGTGATGCCTAATTTCCTTTTTTTCTGCTCTTCNTGCGACGGTTTGCAGAATTTTCAGAACTTTTGAAGTTCGAATCAAGCAATACAAATCATACGTGCGATGTCTAATGGGGATTTTATGTAGGTGTGATGCCTAATTTCCTTTTTTTCTGCTCTTCTTTCTTTAATTTAAGCACTTAATGATGGCATATATTATAATTCAAAATGATACAGGCACCAGTGATGTCAATCTCTGATCTTTGCTCTTAAAATGCCTATTGATAAAGCTTAGATAATTCCGCCTCTAGAAATTCAAAAAGAAAGTATCAAAAGACCCGAATACAGCCCCCGATACGGTTCAGGGTACCGTCACAATACCCACAACAACCACTCAACACTTTTTCTTGCCTTACTTTGATCCTCAAACCCTTACCCTTTGCCCACAGCTTTTGTAAGCCACAAAATCCATTTTAAGCCACAAAAATTAATAGATAGTAATCACTAACGGACCTTTTTTGCTACTACCCTGCATAAGGTTCCACGTGTGTCCTACATCAAATATCCCAGACCTAATCCCTAAGAATGACTGCCTTCAAATATTTACAGATCTACACAACTGTGTGTTATCATCTAGATCCTCAAATCAAAATTAAAGTGAGAATTGGACAGAATGATAGGTTTCAAATCTGTATAAGTGACCAAAGGAGGCACATACAAATAGATAAATATGAGGTGGATCAAATTACCATCTTCAATGACAAGCAATGTCCGTGTATGACATCCATCTTTTGTCAAACCAACAAATTAGATACTCAATCATGCCGAAGATCAGGTTACAGAAAGGACCACAGCCCGATCACAATTCAAATCTTAATTTCATTATAACTCTATACTAGCACAAATGAATCTATTCATCAGATAGCTAGCTATTGCACATTAACTTGATATTTGCAGTGCATGATAGTCAGAGTAGGGGAATGAAATTAAATAATAGACTCAAAAAATCTCCATAAAATTTTATTAAGGATCCTAATTATTACAATTCTTATACCAGGTGTAATTTCTTAAACCTCATTCATAAGTACATTGCTTGTATTCAAGAATGCTATTGCCATATGTATGCAGGGATTAGAATCAACAACTCATGAAGTCTACTGCTGATGGACTTATATTTGAACGTTCATCAAAGGTTTAACACACTATATAAATCAAAACTGTCACAAACTCTACCTAAATAGTTTCCCTTATAAAATAATAATGCTTTCAGAACATGATATGAAAAACAAAAGCCTCTTTTGCTACCACCACTCGTTCATTTTCCTTTTTCTTAAAGCAATCAAGTTAATGAAGTCAACAAAAAGTGAGAGGCAAGAATATCCTAGTTCTCAGCCAAGAAAAGAATCGCACAAGGACCATCTTGTCTAAAAAACGAAGACATTAAGAAATAAAAACTGACTCAAGGTATCCCTTTACTAATGCCACAAATGAGGAGAATAAAAGTAATTAACCCAAACCAATATGTTCAACTTCACCCTCCACAACCATGAAACAATACTTGAACAGTTGGTGAACTAGAACTTTTTCCAAAACAAAATTAATGATGTTAAAACAAACTATACGGACCATATCTTATAACCATTGTTAATTCAAATTTGCTACTTGTTCAAAAGCGAAAGATTTTGAAATCAAAACGCTGACAAAATTACTTTTTCAAACCCTAATCCATTTCAACCAGCCAAAAAGCTTTCAAAATGCAAGATACTCACAAAATCGACCAAATATAAAGGCATGCATAATGTAAAGCAATTGAAACCATATGTTCACTTACGTATGTTGATGGAGAAAGTATCGCACATAATCAGAAACAATTTGTGAATCTGCTGCCTGGAAAAGAAGAATGGTAAACAAATTACTCGCAAGACAGAAATGAAAATCGGAAAACAATGTTGTTTGAGTGATGGTTTCCTAGTTATTCCACAATCTTAAGGTTCATTCAGAGACTTC